AGCCCGGGGCCCCGCGGATAGGAGCGGTGCCAGGGGCTGGGAGCCCCGTGCGGCAGGAGGTCACTGCCATTGCAAACCGGCCGTGTGCCCCTGGGTGCGGGCCGGGAGCCCTCCTGCCCCTTTGGAAGCCAGAGCCCTGCCTGCTCTTTCTGGGTCACTGCACCCTTGTCTAAGCCACGCATTCAGCTCCAACCCTCAGAGACCCTGTGATTCCGTGCTAGCGGCGATTCAGGCGTTGCCTAGTCCCAAATGCAACAGCCAGCCTACCCTTCAAATTCCAACCCCAGCCCCAAGCCCCCCAGCGATCAGGGCAAAGGATCAAAATGGCACACTTTGAGCTGCAGAAAATTACGGACGTAAATAAGCAGGCGGTGCTGGCTATGGAGCAGGGCACAGCTGTGCCTGCTGCCATCTGTGGATCCACTTTTGGGTCACGTTGGAGAGCAGTGCGTGGTTGGCCTGGTGCAGAGTCAGTCTTAGCTCTGCGTTTAACTGCAGAATTAAATACGAGATCGAGCAAAGGAGATCATGAGGCAGTGCCCTTAGGTGTGCGTACAACTTCGTGGGCCAGGCGTTCACTGCTTTGAAGGGACCAAACCTGCATCCAGGCTTTGTTGTTGTGCCTTTTATTTCAAGTTTTTGGCATGCTGCCGTATAATTTGAGCACAAAGACGACGAAGAAAGCGACAGCGTCGTCCAGAGCACCGCCAGGTCTTTGAGATGAGTCACGAAACCCGGAGCTACCGTCAGCTTTACTGCTGATCTTTAAGTTTTTCCAAATGTTATTACCGCTAGGAAATGTTTATCATTATTTTTGTCATGGCTATTGCTGCTCTTCTATATGTAAAGCGGTGTCACGAAGGCCTTCATTTTGTATGCCAGTAAGGGGTGAAAATGTGAAATCCTGTTATGGAATTTAGCAAGCTTAAAGGAATTTGCTGGGGATCAACAGGATGTCTGACAGATCGGCTGAAGTGTAAGAGTTTAGCATTCTGTGGGCATTATGCAATATTTCATTTTCTTTTGCAAAATAGCCCTCATTTTCATTGGCCAAATGGTGAGGTTAATTGAGCAGTGTCAAAACCTGTTATCAGCTGATATTCTAAATTTTGGTGCAATGTTGCTGGGCTCAAGCCTTCCAAAATAATATCTCAAACCCTAGAAATTCTGAGATTTGACAGAAAGTAATGGCTTGAAGTTGGCTGTTATTTTCACTCCAAGTTATTTGTTTTCTGGGTACATTCTCTCCTTGGTTTTGTATTTTATTTTGAAATTTGTTCTAGAATTTAAACATGGAAAAAGCCCCCAACCCAACCAACTGGGATTATCATAAAAATAAATATTTCCATTTTTAGGGCTATGCCTTGTAGCTGATTGGAAGACACTTGTCTCCGAGCAAAGGTAAATACGGTTACCTTTTTCGCATACTAGCAGGCTATCGTCAGACTGGTTTTAAAGCAAATGGAAGAATGACGACGGATAATGAGGAATATTTTCCCTTTGGGGTCTGTGAGATTTCCCTTCCAGAGCAGTTCTGTGTCACAATTTCCTTTTCAGTTCCTTCACTGCAGAAGAGCATGAAGGACCATTGCTTAGGGACATGGTGGGATGGCAGGGTTAGGGGAACAGTTGGACTTGATGATCTTAAAGGGCTTTTCCGACCTAAATGATCCTATGAGCACCATGGCTGGGTCATGCAGACCCACTCAGTTGCAATCTGTGGGGCAGAAGGTGAATCTGCCCATCTTCGCTTACGAGAAATAAGGCAATAGTGTATCTGAGAAACCTGCCTGCCTTGCCTCCTTTTTTTGTCTCTGGTTTGGCTGGGCCAGCTGCCCTCTCTTCTGCTCTCTCCTACTGGACTTCCCACACCTTTGCCAAAGTTTTGCTCTTCCTGTTCTTCCTCCTCTTCTGTCACATGCCAAGCACCATTTCCAGCCCGGTCAGCTCTTCCTTTGTGCCCCTTGGAAAGCTCAGAGGACCCGCGTTAGATTTAAGCAGCCATGAAGTGGTGATGATGTCCTTCATAGTTGTTTACTTTGTGAGCTAGGAAGCCCATGTGAAATGTTGCAGCCCACACAAGTGGAATTTTCACCTCCGCTCTTTGAACAATTTGATTTTTTTTAAAGTGTCCTCTGGGATAATGTAGAAAACAACCAACCCCCAAAGCAAGGGTCATTTTGTGGAAGCTTTTGCATTTATGGCACACCAAATGGTAAAGTAACTAAGCTACCGATTGTGAGTGTTGAGGAAACCTTTAAATAATCAGGTGGATATTTCCTTTATACTGTCCTGGACCAAGAGTGGAATGAGACTGTAACTACTGGCCCATGACTACCTTCTTCAAGTGATATGAAGCCAATACCGGTATGATTTGGAGCAGCTACATTTCATAGATACCATAATTCAAACTATGCAGAACTTTGTATACACCCACATGCTGTTCAAGTATGGTTTGTTTGGTGCCATACAACATATGGAGGCATTTAAGGGAAGTAGACTGGAACAGAAGGAAGACCAATGAAGAGAGAATTAATTTGCAGTGTAGGTATGAGAAAAACTCCTTGACTTATTTCACCCAGATGGTCTATAAGTATCCATTATAGGCAATGATATCCCTTAGAGAACAGTTTAGGGACAGTAGTTAAATGGTTTTACAGAGAAGGTTTAAGACTTTACCAGTTCTTGTTGTAAACTTTATTATGGTCCTCTAGTTCAGCATTTTAACTTCTGTCATGTCTACACTAAGAAAGTTTTGGGGCTGGTGTTAGATCCTAAACAGTTCATGTTAGCAAAATCAACGAGGAATAATTTATATTTTTCTCACTTAATTAACTGTACTTGTGTTTAACTGCTTGATAAAGAAAGAAATGTCCTTTGCTTTCTAAAAAAAAATGTTGTGATCAGGTGTTTTAATTGTAAAATTAAAGCAAAGGCAATGGAATGTCGTCAGTTTTCTAAGTATAAAACACTTATTGCTCACTTAAACACCTGACAATTAAAACACAGAAAAAGAACAGGAAAATGAAGCATAGCAATAAATGTCATTTTCTTTTTATGGCCATTTGTTTTGACCATGTGTCTCTGAATACGTGCACACAAAGCAGACCGCCCTGAAGGAGGCAATATGCAATGCTTTGCTAGTGCAGAAGCTATCTAGGTAAGCTATAAATTGGGCGTCTTTGATGATATCGGTGTGAGGAAAGTGAAGTATAGAAGTGTGCAGAACAGGGAGCGACCGGTCACTCCTGAGCTGTGCGACTTTCCTGATCGGCCCGCCTCGCGCTCCGTGCGCGTCGGCTAAACGTGGTCCCAGTAAGGGCAGCTCTAATGAATCCGTGCCAGATCCCGTATTTTATCTGGCTACAAGGGAAAGCAAAGCCAAGTGGCTCAAAGACAATGATGGGGCTCAAAGAAAATGTGATTTAGTATTTCAGCTTTCTCTGTGTGACTGCTATGGCACTGTTTATACCCATGTAATTAAAACCCCTTTAAAGCGTGTTTCCTATTCCTTTGTTGTAACCAAAAATGCAACACTAATAACAACAGCACACTTAGCATTTTAATGGCCTCAACTCCCTCCCAAAAGGAGCCTAAAAGGCCTGTTAAAAGCACGTATGGCATTTTATTAATCTTCTGCACATCTATTCACCCAAAAGCAAGAAAATGAATAGCTCTCGAAAAAATACATCTTGTCAAAAGTCTCACCTACTTTGAACCAAGTGAAATGTTGCGTTCTTGAAGTAAAAGTCAGTGAAAAAATGCCACTTGCTATATTTAACCGAGAGGTCTTCAGTTTAAGCAGCCATGGCAGAATCTCAGAGATGGAGATGGCCAGTTTCTTTGTTCATTGAAAAATATATTGCAAGTAATACCATAAAATACAAATTCACAAACGTTATTCAT